GTGGCACCGGCCAGAGGTTCAAAGCCATTTTCCCGGATACCAGGGTGTCTGCGTAATCGAACAAGTTTATGTTTCCCCAGGCCAATGGGCAGTGCTCCTCCTTCGTGCCCTTCCGGCCTTTAACAGAGCAAATGGAAAGGCAAAGTCGAGCGGCTCGAGGAAGATCAGGAATGTCTATGTCGTAATTCAGCCACTCGTTCCACCTAGGATTTGAACAAGGTACTCTTTGAGTGTTCACATTGTCACATAAAGGCTCTCCTCCATGGTAGATACCTGTTCGAACGTAGATCTTATCGATGTCTCGAATATTTACATTTACATAGGTTGCACAAAGAATTTTGAGTCTGAGTGCGCTATTTATAGCCCAGAGGGACTTGGTAGGTGTCTCTCTGTTCATATGGGGTGTGGCCGTGGAGATGCGCCTAGAGTAGGACGGCATGGTGAAGCTGTGGGTTGGCAGCTGGGAGTAAAGGCTTTCTTTGGTCATCAGCATCAAGTTGGGCATCCTCCCCAGCATTATACAGCTTCTTATGTACTTGTACTGGCTCAGAGGGTACTTCTCCAAGAAGTACTCATCGCAGCCGCACACCTTCAGGATGTACTTGCCCTGGTACTCCAGGACGAAGAGCTTCAGCTGCTCAGAGGACAGCAGCATACTGCGGGTCTTCTTCCTGATTGCTTCAGCGATGACTTGCTCTGGCACATAGTCGTGGTTGATCTTCAGAGTGTATTTCTGCTTGTCGTTATTTGGAGAGAGTATGACCCAAATCACCACTATGATTTGTCCTCTATCTAACTTGCTGTAGATGTGCTTTGGCAGCTCTGGGGAAGACTCCACATTTGGAGGGTAGACATACAACGCTCTGCTGTGAGGCAAGTTGAGATCCCGCAGGTCCACGGCTTCTTTGCACACACTCAGAATGTTCCTTCGGAAGTCTTGGACTTCTGGATCTTTAACCATATCAAATTCACACACTGGCATGCCAATAACAAAACCAATTTCTCGACTGAGGATCTTTTCTTCACGGTTGCCTACTGGTTCAATTACTTTCAAAAAGGGGTGAAAAAGCCGAAGGTCACAAAGTCGTCTTGTTTCATCAAAAAATTCTTCCCTTTCTGCTTCTTGGGTAACACTTACGAAAATGTAAGAAGACTCATCCTGCAGAAGCTGGTGG